CCACTTCATGATTGCATTTATCCTCAATTTATTTGGTTTTAGTTTGTTGGTTTTTAGTTTGAAGATGAATATGGTAATTGTGTGTGTGTGTGTGTGTACATACAGTGTCTGAAGTTGCATCATCCACTTGCCGTTTGTCCACAGCATGTTTTTTGACTTTTAATCCTCTCAAAGACTGACATGCATGGTGACACAATAGTGATAGTTACTTAGCTAGTTGTTTGTGTGTTATATTTATTTATTTATTTTTTATTGTTATTAAATTTTCATGTACTGTAAAATAAATAAATAAATAAATAAAGAGAGACCAATAATTATATAAATTAAACCAAAATTATCGTGTCAATTATACCAAATATTTGTATAAAATATTTAATCAGAATAAGGTAGCGATATTTTACAAAATGGATTAATAATTGTTTTATTTTGGAGTGATAGGAAACGAATTGGTCAGATCACTTTGCACCAAAAGTCTTGTAAAAAATTTTATATGCCTATAGAATTACTCTTTTAAAAATTTAAAATAAAGAGAGGTCAGTCTAAAAGTTATTCATAGGATAAAAATGCTTATTATGTTCCTTTGAGAGTATCAAATGGATGTTTTGAATTTAGAATTATTATTTTTTAATTAAATTTTAAAGACTACTGATTCGATACTTTTAAATATAACATCAAATTTGTTCAATTAAACAAACAAATGAGTTCTCACCAAACATTTTGTACCATGTTTCAATGAAATGCTCTCAAATGTTCTCAAGTGAAGTGTGATCGTTGAAAAATTAAGTGTTTGATTTGTAAGTTTAAAAACAGTTTTCAAGTACTCAAAAAAAAAATTATTAATCAAATAGAATTTTTGTACAATTTCTTATTTTCAATTATATAAAAAAAAAATTATTTTTAGAATTACAAATTTTTATGACTCGCGAATACAAAGTAAATCTTAAATATTCGTAATTTTTTTATACTTTATTTTTTTAAAAAAAATATTCGTAATCATGAATATAGCTTAGTGAGACCTTGACTAGAGGCGGCCAATGTAGCACAAATAAAGCTAGCTAGGGTAAGAGTTGGATTGATAGGGAATATTAAATACAGAGATGCATACATCACATACATACATATATATATAGAAAGAAATTGGCCAAGTTGTGGATTCACACATTTTTGGCTGTAAAGAATATTAGTAAAACGAGAGAGAGAGAGTATACTAATTTAGAAAACTAGGAAATAAAAACAAAAGAAATACGCCATTGACAGCAACTACAAGAGATATATATATATATATATAGATTCACACATTTTTGGCTGTAAAGAATATTATTAAAACGAGAGAGAGAGTATACTAATTTAGAAAACTAGGAAATAAAAACAAAAGAAATACGCCATTGACAGCAACTACAAGATATATATATATATATATATGAGATGCAATGGCTACATAAATAAATTACACCTCCAAAGTTTCATATGCTACATATGGTACTCGGTGTGTTTCAATCGTTGGATCATTCCCACAATATTTAAAGCCGAAAAGATTTGAGGGTACAAAATCTCAAAATATTTTAAAATTTTATCAAATTCTCGCGAATATTCTAAAATTTTCTCAGGAGTCTATTCTTCATTCGATCAATGTAGATAAACATGTTTTTATTTTATTTTATTTATTTATTTATTTTTTATTTTATATAGTAGTAAACTAAATTATGTGCAAGAGAGTTTAAGACCAATTACGTGATGTAATAGGCACCATAATTTAATAATTTAGTTTTATCTCTAAATTATTATTTTTAGAAAATTTAATAAGGCAGGTTGTTGAAAATAATATTCTTTTTTTTTAAAAAAAAAAAACTGAGTTTTTAAAAATAATTTTCAAAAACTGATTAATAAGCATGTTTTTGTACATAAAATTATTTTAAAAAAATCGAACCAAACATATCTAAGTAAACGGGAAAATAAGATAAAAGATAAAGTGGTTAACATTAGGAAAATCAAAATCTAAGTCTTGATTGTATCATCAATAAATATTCATTGTGTCCAATGTACCGGACATATCATAATGGTTCATGTATATGTGTTCGGTGCACTAGACACATCGTATATTTACTCTTAGGCCAAGGGATGATTCAATTTTGGATGACCATTTGATGAGTTCTTTATTGGTACAATGTACCCTATGAAAACATTCGGTGCTTTGAACTTTAAATGATCTTGTGTTGTGCCACACACTCAACCGTTGGCATTTGTATAATTTGTTTTTTGAAAATGAATTTTTTTTAAAGAAAATCACCCGCAAAAATGGACCAATGTTTTTTTGCAGTGAGATGCAATATAGAAGGAGTCGTGTGCTCAGTTAAAGTAACTTTCGATTAGTGATAAACTCAGAGAATTGTATAAGCGGGGACGACATTTGAATAACAATAATATATAGTGAAATATTATTAGAAATTTAGTGAGGGTATTTTAAAGATTTTTAGAAAGAAAAAAAAAATAAGTACATTTTTTTTTTTTGAAATTTACAAGTAATCTTATAAAGAGTAATTTTGTTTTGTTTTGTTTTGTTTTGTTTTAGTGGGGGCATTTGCACCCACTTAGCGCTTAATGGGAACCATGCCTGAAGTGTTGCAAGAACTATGTAAGGCTTCGTTTGGTTAGATGGAAATAGTACGAAAAAAAAAAAGGAATGAAAAGAAAAGTGGAGTGAATGAAAATAAATTTGATTTTCTAGTATGTATTTGGTTAAGATGAAAATTTATCAAAAAAAAAATTATAGGAAAATATTATGTTATAGTTTAGATATCTAAATTGACCTTATTTAATAAAAATGGTAAAATAATAAAAAATAAATTAGTAGTATGTATATAAAATACGACGTCAGAGAGTGCTTGTAATTTTGTGTAGCTTTTTCCTGATATAATAGGTTCCTACTCATTTTGTTAAGTTAGAAGTTGAACTAAGTGAGATGCTAAATCAATTTAGAGATAAAACTAAAAGCAATAAGCTGATCTTTTTGAAAAGAAAAAAAAAAAATGTGAAGTCACAATTTTTGAATAAAAATAAAATGAAATTCTCTTTTTATTTTATTTTTACGTAGGGGCAAAAAAATAATAATAATAATTGAATTATCATATCGGGAGAACTTATTAAAAATATGATAAGATTCCGTAATCGTATTAATGGTTCCATTCATACTGATACTTTCACATTACAATTTGAAACTATTAATAGAAATTGCACTGAAATTCAATAGTTATCCAAAACAGGCCTAAATTGCTCAATCATATACCTAGATTCATATATGATGTAGAATGTTTCATGCATCTTAGAAATAAGGTCTCTCATACATTGTAACCTAATTTTGTTTCCTTTCTTTTTAAAAAAGAAATATGGTGAAAAGGTTCAAGATATTTTAAAAAGCACTTTAGAGTTCATCATTTCTGAAAAATAATAACAACAATAATTAGGTGAGTTGATATTTTAGAGGGTAGTTTGGTTATTTTTGGTGAGTAGATATTTTAATGAAAATATAATATTTATCGCAAGGTATATTAGACATTTCATATTACTTAAGGTTCCATTTAGCATGCGTGTTGTTTCTGTTATTTTTGTGTTTGGGTTACTACAGGGCGGATTTTAACAATAAAAGCATGTTTGGTGCGGCCTTATTTTGTTTTACACAATGCTAAAACACTTCATGAATAGTGTCCTTAAACCAAAACACCAAAAAGTTACTTTTTTCTTATTTTGAAAACTGTTTATGAGTCAAAATCATATTTTGCATGTTTTTATTTCTGACATTTCCTATAAAACGTCGTTCCCAAATGTGGTTCCGATTTTTTTTCAAAACACACTAATAACAAACGTGGTTCCGATTTTTTTTCCCAAACGTGATTCCAAAAACAAAACGCTAAAACAAAGTGCATGCTAAACGGATCCAGGAGTGTATTTGAAACTCATTTATGAAAACAAGGTGTCTTTAACCCAAACCGCACGGGAAAGGGTTGACTACAATTTACCGTGACTTCATTTCTTTCAAAATTCATATTTTGCAAGTAATTTGATCTTAACCAAAATGATAATATATATATTTGCTCCACAATGTAACCAGTAATCATGTGAAAATAATCGAATTTCAATAATAAACTAAAATAATTAGTATCCTTCTTAATTTGATATCCTATCCATAAATTTGAAATTATAAATATTTTATTTTCAATTCACACTTCATTTTAAAAAAATATATATAAAGTGGAGATATTTGTTACATATATATAACTACCTCATGCTACCTATTATCTAGTACTTTGGGTTAATAAAAATCTAACAGTTAACTAATATTACATTTTGGATACTCAAAATATCAAAAACTTTTACCGATTCGGACTACTTTAACGAATATGTCATGAATTCATGTACTAACGCAACACACTTATATCACAATACAACATTATATTACGAAATAAGAAAACTTTAAACTGAAAATTTTAAGAGTTAAATATTTTAAATGGTAGTTAAAAAATAAATAATTTAATTTTTTTTTCAGCTAAAAATTTATTCCATTTTAAATAACTATTGTAATTTTCAGTAAGTAATTAATTAAACAAACATTTAATTCATTTAGAATTAAGTAAAATTGAGTTTTCAAATATTACCTAATTTGTCCAACATTTAATTATTACTGGGTGGTGATATAAATTTCTTTTTAATTATATATATATATATTTTTTTGAAGACAACAAATGACCAACTGGCAAGTGGCAACTCATCTATATCCAAATATCCACGGGCATTTAAGAGCCCCAATCCCCAAAAAAAATGAAATTTGCCAAACTGGATAAGCTGTTTGCTGAGTCACTTCGAACCCATTGAATTCCAAAGCACACAGATATCAACCTTATTCCCACACACAATATCTCTGTTCTCTGGGTCCCACCAAACTTAACCAGGGTTAAACTCAAACCCTCCGAATCTTCTCAACCCTTACTCTATATCAACACAACAACACACACTATCTTTCCTCTGTATTTTCATAACCGCACCGTATCGAACCGTATCATGGTCTCTACGTTTCTTCGACCCTCACCGACACCGCACTTTGTATTCTCCGGCAAGAGCTCGGCTCCGCCCCCGTCGTGCGTCAGGTTCCGGCCGCCGCCCGTATCCGCCGCGTACGCCTCGGCGGAGAGAACGAGGTCTACGTACCTCGACCCTCCCAAGCTCTCCGCCCCGTGCGCGTCCTTCTATGAAGTACTCGGGATTCCGATCGGCTCCACCGCTCAGGACATCAAGGCGGCGTACAGGAGGCTCGCGAGGATCTGCCACCCCGACGTGGCGGCTGATCACCGGAAGGACTCGTCGGCCGACGAGTTCATGAGGATTCACTCCGCGTATCTGACGCTGTCCGATCCGGAGAAGCGAGCCGTCTACGATCAGAAGCTCTTCCGGCAGTACCGGCCGATCGGTGCGTATGCCGGAATTTCAGCTTCTCCGGGGAAATCGAGGTCCGGATTTTCCGGTTTCACCCGCCGGAATTGGGAAACGGATCAGTGCTGGTAGCGAGTTGAGTTAACTCAGTGACTCACCTTCTAAAGTTATATAGAGTGATGATGTATTTGTATATATATATTGGAAATATGTATTGTATAAGTGAAGAGAGTACTAACACGAATTAGCAGAGATGAGCTTTTTCTGGGATCAATCATCGCCGCTGATTTTATGGGCGGCGTTATAGCCTTATAGGGTGTTGATTTTCCAGTCTCAATCATAGCCGTTGAATGCTATCAGATGATCATGTAATCGCGCCAAGAAGGGTGTTCAAACACCATTGTAACTGTAGTTGTTTGGAAATTAGAATGGGAATTTTTGTTCTTCCTATTTTTCCTAATTTTCTTTTTATGATTTACCAGTTTAAAGTACCTTTATTGCAAGTGTATCTAGATGTTTTTATGAATAGATTCACTGTTGTATTTGGAATAGTAAGTTTTTCTCTTATTATTATTATTTTTTGGGGGCAATTTTTTCACTTTTCATAATATTTCAAGGCAATTTATCTTCAAAAATTACTTTTTACTAGCGAAGCCTGGTGTGGCATAGATTTGGATAATAATTTTGAGGCCTGAAACTCTAACCCAAGTCAAAATCATTATCCAAATCTATTTTTTCTCACAAGGAAGATGTAATTGTCAGTATTATATATATATATATATATATAATAATAAGAGAGAGAAAGAGACCATTTCTTCACTTGTGTAATAAGCGGCTCAGAATTTTTGAACCTATACTTGCAAAGTACAAAACACAAAATCAATTTGTAAAAATATCTTATGCATGTGCATCTACCAGTCTCTGTGAAATGTTTAGTGGATTTGTACTTTTAGAAAAATGGGTTGAAATGTTTTTCCTTTTTTTCGGTTAAGTAAATATAAAAATTATTTTCCAATCAATTAACCATAATTTCTACGAGGATTGTGACAGAGGTGGGTTCAACTCTGTAAAAGATTTTTATTTTATAATGTTGGGAGATAAAAGGATTTGAGTTTTTTCTTGAATCCTGATATAGTGTTTAATAATAAGATGTATCAACCTCTATGTAATTTACATAAGTGAATGATGGCATCATCATAATGTGTCGTATATTTTATTATATTACATTTAATCCACTCAGATAATAATATAATCGATAATTGTAGGGATGGTAACGGCACGGTTTTTGGGCGGGTGTACCTTCCTCGCCCCATTTAACATTTTCACCCCGCAAACACCCATCCCATCTCGTTTAGTTCCAGAATTTTGTCTCGTTTTTAAATTTTTTTCCTCAAATATAATTACAAAACTAGTGAAAAAATTCATAAAAAAATGGCTAATTAGTAATTTAACATAAAATTTAAGATCACGAGCGTTCTTAGTTCATATGGCTTTATCGCTCTCTAGAACAATTAAGAAAATGAGTGAATGTGATCTAGGGTTTTAGAGTTAACTATATATATTAATAAAATAAGAATAATTTTGTAATTTACCTACCTAAACAGGCGGGGTGACCTCCCCACCCCTAACCCGTGCGTGTTTTTATTAATAAAAATCATTTCTTTCGAAATAAGTTAAATGAACTATCAAAATCAATATCAAAGGAATGGAGTGGAGCGGATACCCGTCCTCACGGGGCAAATTGGCATCTCTAGATAGTCGAACTTTTGGAAGTTATATCACTTTCCTTTTTCCACCTACAAATATGATGACATGACTAAGAAATGGAAAAACAAAAGATTGTTAGGAAAAGAAAATTGAAGGATGTAGGACTTTGGGAGCTAAAGGGTTCCAGAATCCAGTGGTCCCAGGTACGATGCTTCTAAATTCATTGAACAACAATCACTGATTCAAAGTCATACATTCTTTACAAATCACAGAATATTTCAATATCTCACACGCACACACACACAAAATGTTTCAATATCACACACACACACACACACACACACAGCCTTCAATTTTCAAGTTAATTTGAACAACAATCACTGATTCAAAGTCACACATTCTTTATAAATTGATGACTAATACAATGTTAGACTTATACATATCTAATGAATGTTAAATGATTGATATAAAACTATAAATATTAAAGTTACATCGTATCAATCAATTTAAATTTTAGAATTTATGGTTGTTAGTTGCTCTGATAATTAAATTTTTATACACATTGAAAAGCGTTTTAGAATAAATAATTATTAAAATTACATCTTTCTAATATAGCTGTAATTTATTTTTGTTCTTTTCAAAAATAATCTGATTTTTAAATTAGACAAAGTCACAAAACCAACAGCATTTTCCAACAAAATAGAGTACAAAAAATTGAACTCAAGAGAATTGGGTCCCATTTCATTGCAAAATTCTATTGACATTTTATTTGATGAGGATGGTTTTTAATAATCGAAGAAATTTAGTCATAGCATGTGCTTCCACAACTTCCAAAAGTTGGCAAATGAAATAATATACTCCTATTTAGTACAACCTTAGGCGTGGACGCAACGGCACGATAGAGAAAGAAGACAACCAAAGGAACATATATATATATATATATATATATATATATATATATAACGAATTAAGAAGAGTGTTGAGATTCAATTGTCAACTTAATCGCATAATTATGTTCTTATAAAGTCGTTAAACACATCTCTCATTTGGTTTTCTTTTTTTGAACTTGGCTTGACAGTGAAATTGGGACCTACCATTTTATTTCAGTGTAGCACTTTTAATTATTTGTGGTTGAATTTACATTTGATGTGAGAGAGAGATTATGAACTTTTGAGTGCTTATTTTGAGAGATATTTGAGAGCCACTGCTTTTATGGAACCATTGATGAAACTTTTTGAGTGCTTAGATATATTTTAAGCTAGTAATTGAGAGACGCTGCTTTTATGGAATCCTCCTCATCGTTATCGTTATCGTTATCTTAGATTTGAAGTTCTGAAAAATTATTATACAGTTTTAGATCAATCAGTAATCGACGCGTATTTATACGCTAGTTTTGTTCATTTTTATTAAGTTTTATTTATTTAGTATTATTATTATGCTTCGACTAGTGATTGATCAAGACTGATAACCCTAGGACCATATAACAATTCTTTTGAATTCTCTTTCTATGGAGGGATCCGGTGTAGAGAATGTCAATCACAACATGTCATGCAAAAGAAATATATCAACTTTATTTAGTGTTTTGTTTGCGTAACAAATTGTGATTGATTGAAACCACATAATTTCGGACCATGTAATAATATATTTTCTTTAGTTTATCTTCATCATGTATTGCTAGCATATTCGTTAATACAATATGTTATATAAAAAAATAATTTGTTGCTATACAAGTGATGTAATATTTAAATTATATAAAATTATTACAAAAACGATGTAATGACACAAAATACAATGCGGAATGAAATGAAACAGGAGATAATTCGAATTACTTTACTTTGATCCCAATTGAATGGCGTGTGGGCCTTTAAATGTAAATTCAATGGAGCACATTGTGATCTTGTTGATGTTGGATGCTCATTAGGGACAATAATTTGTATTGTATTTAGTGACTAGTTATTTTAATTGACTAATTTAACATATGTGATTTTTTATGATTTTTTTTCTTGACGAGCAATAGCATTAGATTCGTGCATTTCTTCTCAAGAATTATATATATATATATATATTGTCACCCATTAGCTTTTAGTTACTAAACAATCACAATATAAGAAAAATATTCAACGTCATTTGAGAGAATCTTAATCATTTTATCATAGAAAGAGAAATGTTACAAATGTATGTCTTTTGTAAAAGTAGGAAAATTTTAAAATAAAGAGTTGTATAACATTTCCTCTTGAAAATTATATTGATATTGGGTTATTGTTCTTCTAGAAGATATAGGAATATAGTTTTTGTAAACTCTCTTAGAAATTATATTGATATTCACAAAATCACACACACCCGCACTTGAGTTTATTTATTACATCAAATAAATAAAAAAAATTCATCAGTATTATACTTCCTTTGGTTAAAAGAATGGAAAAATTGATAGAAGGGAGAGAGGAAGGGATGGATGAAGTATAGGAAGGGAAAGTGTTTCTCTCCTTTTTTGTTTGGTTGGATGGAATGCAAAGTAGAAAGGATGGATGGGGTGAAATATTTTTTGTGTTTGGTTGGAACTTGAAAGGAAGGAAAGTAGAGTTTTTATATTATTTTTACTAATATACCCTCCTTATATAAAATTAAAAAAATATATGCATTCCAAATTATGCAACAACAAAGTTAAAAACGGAATTATACTCCTTTCTCTCTCCTCTTCTTCCCAATTTTGGGTAGATAAAAAATTGCAAAGGAATGAGGAATGAAACATCCCTCCCTGCTTCCTCCCTCTTTTCCTTTCTATTCAATTAAACACAAAAAACTTCTTTTATCCCCCGTCTCATCAATCCCTCCTTAATTCTTTCTTCCAATCAAATAAATAGTTTTAAATATCATGTAATATTTTATCATTAGATTTTGATAGATACAAACTTTTAATGAGTTATAACTATAAGTTTTGAATGGACTTGGATCCTCTAAGTTAAATATTTTCTACGTTATATTAAGTTGAATTCGTTACAGATTGACACGTGACATTTAAATCTATTTACTGCTGGTGTTAAACCACGTCAACTAATTTAAAGAAAGTTTGATTTGAGAAAAACTGCACCCTTTTGAATTAAGAAAAATTCACTATACTCGAATTAAGAAAAATTTACCATACTCTAATGACGTTTATCGTCGTTATCTTTCCCTCATCTTTTTCAAAAAAAGATCTCCTTCTCTCTCTTCTTGCTCATTCCCACTATTGGAGAATATTTGGGCCAAAAATGAATATTCTTTGCCATGGAATTAAGATAGACGAAAATGTGATTGCAAGATTGCAAGACATGCAACTTTTACTGGCAATAGTAATGGTTGGAAAAGAATATATATATACAACCATGGATATTATTGATGGAGTTAGGAAAATATAACCAAAAACCCTATATATAGAAAAGATGAGAGAGAACGTTCGTTCCGGTTAAAAGAGAAACAAAACCATCGCGACTTGTTTAAGATAGGAATAAAGAGGAGAGAGAGGGATAAATTTTTTTTTTGAAAAGATGAGGAAGAGATAACGACGTTAAACGTAGTTAGAGTATGATAAATTTTCTTTAATTCAAAAGAAGTACAGTTTTTAAACTTTAGTAAATTTTTCTTATGTCAAAACGGTGCAGTTCTTAAACTTTCTTTAAATTAGTTAACGTAATTTAACACAAGAAATAGATAGATTTTAAATGTCACATGCCAATCTGTAGGGAATTCAATTTAAGATAACTTATATTTAAGTCG